GGCCCCGTTCCAACCGGTTCGGTTGGAACGGGGCCGGCGGCGGCCTCGCGTACGAATGCAGCGCGCGCGTGCAACGCGCATGCACATGCGCAACGCACGCATGCGTACTAGCGTCTGTGCGATGCTCCAGCTGCTCCTGGAGGATCGCGCAGGCCCTGTATGCGTCCTGCGCACCAGAAGCGCAGAACTCGTCAAAACCGGGTAAGGAGCGCAGGTGCGCGGGTGGGCCCTTCGCCGTTCCCGGAAGTTACTTACTTCCGGGTTCGCCGACCAACCGGTTTGCAGGGACCGCCGCGAACCAGTTGAAACCTACCCCTGCTACAGATCTACTGTATATGCATTCACTCCTAGCCAAGTCTCTCTTATAGTCTATATATTGCTCCTTTAGTGTTAATATTTGTTTCCTAAGTGCTGAACTAATTTTACCAGACTGATTTGTAATTCTTGGGATGCTGAATTTTTCTATTTATAAAGAAAGTAAAAAAAACCCATTACTTACCAATATGGTATAGCCCAATCCAGTCTGTGGGATCCACCTCTTCTTTAATATCCCAGAAAATGATGAGGTTCTGAGATTGTCCTAGAGTGTATTCATACATGCTTGCAGTCAAACTAGAGCGGCTTTCAAAAGTCACCAGATCCGTGTCACTGTTGGCGCGCTGCAAGTTCACGTTCTCAGCCACGGCGCCCTGAGATGTAAGGCTTTGGAGGTTCTCTGGACTCAAAGTGTAACGCAATTGTGGATTACGCCTTCGGGCAAAAAGCAGATGTTCTCGGGTAGAGCTGGTCATCCTGATCTTTGTTTATAGAGAAACCGTTTCACTTACAAATCTGTAAAGAACAAAATGTAAACTTTAGGAACAAATTCTTACATCAGACTAAATGTTGAAACTTGGTTAAGAATGTTAAAAGAGAAAGAAGATTTTTTTTAAAGAAAAAATTGAAAATCTATTTTCATCTTAAAATATCTAAAATCTTCCTTTCATAAAGAAACCATGTTCACAATACAGATTTAGCTAATTTATAAAACTCTCACTGGGAAGCTTTTGTTTCTTTAACTAGTTAATTATCTAAACAATGGGGTGAGATTCTATTGTTATGGACAGCAGCAAGTCCACTGGTTTGAATTAAAGTCATTAAGAGACAAGGCTGGCCATGCTATTAGATAGAACAAATTACCTCCTCCAGACCGATTAGATCCCACAGATTAGGCCTCCTCCGAATTCCATCCGCCGGCCAGTGTCGACTGGCGACTACCCGGAGGAGAG